TGGGGTTAAGATTAGGATCTCTGGGACATTATGTATTTGGACCGGGAATACGACTAGAATTTGTTGAATTAGAATTAGCACCTCTGACATTGGAGTGATAAATCAGAGACATACAATCCATATATATATATATATATATATAAAATATACAAAAATGTTCTATTTACCGTATAATGTTTCAGCTCATTATATTCTAGAAACTACTGCCTACTTATAACTCAATATATTAGAATTGTGTTGTTCTTCCAAATTGGGTTGCTTTTCTGTTAGTCCATCTATCACTTGAACGTAGGGGATTGTGGAAACTTGGAGATAATAATAGGAATGAAAACAATAAGAATGATATATGAAGGCTCTGCTGTATTATTATCAGAGAGAAGGAGTTATATATACGATGCAGAATATCACAAATGAAAACAGAAAAGGGAAACAGAAAAACAGAGCGTAAAGAGAAAACTATAGCTGAGAGCCCCCTTAAACTGGTAATGAATATTAAGCATGTTTAGCTTGGAGATTTATTTTTGAAACAAAGCCGGAGATAGAGCTTTTGTGAACACACCTTCATGTTGAAGCAAAGACAATATTGGCAAGAGTTTAATCAAACTATCATTAACCTCTTATCTCTTACCATGTGACATGTGACAGTTGATTTCAATATGTTTGGTGGTTAAAAATGATTTGTAATGCCGATTGATTATCACAATATAACAATGCGAGACTAAGAAAAGACACACACAAATCTGCAAGTAAGAATGTGAGCTATTGTATTTGGCAAGAAGTGGAAACAAGTGTACGATGATAAGAGAGGAAACATTAAAATGGATAACGACCAGTAGCAGTATTGGTACCAATTGATGTAAACACATCATGAAAATCTTTTAGATATGTGGGAGGTTGACGAAGATGGGTGGATCGATGAAGAACATGAAGAGGGGAAACTTGCATACTTGGAGATGGATTATGTGTAGAAATAGTTTCAAGATGAGAAGGAGAATGGATTGTGTGGTCATGATGCATAAAATAGGTAGGATGAGGTAAAGAAAATGAACGAGAGTTTTGAGCAAAGGAAGAATGGACGTGAGGAAAATGATCCTAATAAAAAATAACATTCCGAAAAATAATGATATGGTGAGAATGCAAGTTATAAAGCAAGTATCCTTTGGTGTGGGGTTTAAAACCTAAAAAATGGATGGTTGTGCACGTGGATCAAGCTTCTTGCAATAAGCAGTGAGTGTACTTACTTAACATAAGCATTTGAAAATAAGTAGATTAGAAATATTACAAACATGTTTATAAAGTTTTTCAAAATATGAGATATTATGCAAAAAAGGAGTAGGGATGTAATTAATAAGGTATGCTGCATGTTGAAGAGCAAAACACTAAAAACTTAAAGAAAGATTGGATTGAAAAAGTAATGCTCGTGAAATGTTTGAAAGATGTTAATGCTTTCTTTCAATAATGTCATCCTGCTATGGAGTTTTAATGCATGTAGTTTGATGTATAATTCTTTTAAAGAAAAATAATCTTTCATGGAAAATTGAACACCATTATAAGTATGAATCACTATAACTGTAGTACTGAATTGTTTTTCTATTTGAGTAATGAAATGAATAATATGAGAATGTGTTTTGCATTTGAATGAATAAAAAAAAAAAAATCTAAACATAACATGTGTGATCATCTACCACTGTTAAAAAATATTTGTGACCAAGAATGAAAGTGGTAGAGCATGGACCCCAATTGTCCATATGAAGCAGTTCAAAAGATGTAGTAGCATAAGAATTACTTAAAGGAAAGATAATTTTCTTTGTTTTGCATAATAACATATATTACACGCAAACATTTGATCACTTTTTACCAAGAATATGTTTTTTTCATGTATTGTATACGTTTATGGGAAGGGTGACGAAGACGAAAATGTCACAAATCAATGGGTAGTTTATTACATTGGGGTTGAACTATGGTATTGTGAACAAAACTATCAACCTCAGTAGGAAAAACAATTGTGTATAAGCTAGCGTTTACATTAATTGTACCAATCCTCTGTTTGTTGTTTGTGTCCTTTATAATGCAAGAATTACGTGAGAAAATCAAATCACATTGAAGGGGAAGTCACAAGTTTAGATATGGAAATGAGATTGAATGTGAAAGTGGGAATATACAAAACATCAGTGAGATGGAATGAATCATTAAAATGAATGTTTCTTGAGTGTGTAGCACAAACTTGTTGACCCATGGGAAGTTTAAGAATGATAGGTTTAATTGCTTTGAAGAAAGAGAAATTAGTTAATGAAGATGAAACATGATCAATAGCTCCTAAATCTAAGATCTAGGTAGCTTTGGATTTGAATTGAATTTTACCTGAAGAAGATGAAATAGAGTCTATTTGATTGACATGAGACAAAGGCATTGCTAAAGTGCCATTGTTCAATTGTTGGATTAAATCTTGGAGTGCTTGAAACTACTGTGGAGAAAAACAAAGTTTTTGTTTTCATGAGCCTTACGTTGATCATTCCTCGTGACTTCACCGTTCTCAATCACAGTATTATTATTGATGACATGTTTAGAATTAGAAAATTTGTATCCAAGAGGAAAGCCATGCTTACGGTAGCAAACATCAATGATGTGTCCTGATCTTCCATAATGGGTACACAATTTACTACCATGAAAGTTATTGTGCTTATTGTTCTTGGCATAGGGAATTCATGTTTACAATAACAAACATTTTTAGTATGACCAAAATGACCACAATGAGTACAAGAAATAGCAGTAGTGGCATTAATCATTGATTCGAATGTAGAACATGAAAACTATCGTTCTTGTTAAGCAACATAAGAGAATATTTTAGAAATCGAAGATAGAGGATCCATAAGCAACACATGAGAGCGAATATTGCTATATTGATCGTTCAATCCTTCTAAAAATTGCATTGCTATATCTTCAAGCTTTCTTTGAGAAATAAGAGATAAAACTTTGCATGAGCACTTAGTTACGCATGTACACTTAGTTACGCATGTACACATGGCATCAAGTATGAAATTCTCCAGTTCCTCCCACAGAATTCTGAGTTTGGTGAAGAAATCCGTGATAGAGAGATCACCTTGCTTCATTGTCGATGCCTCATATTGTAGAACTGACACAACATGTAAGAGATCTTCTTGTGCATATTGTGATTTTAGTTATTTCCATATATCTTTCGCCTTGTACATTCAAAGTATACTATAACATATTGGAACAAAAACAAATTGCACAATCCAAGACACAACCAAATTGTTGCACAAACAGTATGCATTGGATCTGAAGTTGATGGTTATGTAGCAGTTTCATCAACAAATTCTACTTTATTCATCAACAAATTCTACTTTATTCTTTACATTAAGAGCTGTCAATATAGATCGACTTTATGAATGATAATTGGTAGAATCAAGAAAAGGAGATACTGATGTTGTTGACGGATTCTCACTAGGATAGAAATAAAGATAACTATGTATACTAGGTATTTGATTTTCCTTCACGATGGCAAAGAAAAGGGAAAGAAGCATACTGTAGCAAAATGGTCAAGAGGAGGGCTCTGATACCATAACCAAAATGGTAATAGGGAGAGAAAAGAAACAATAAAAATGATCAATGAAGGCTATGATGTATTATTATGAGAGAAGGAGTTATATATACAATGCTAAATAACAGGAATGAAAACAGAAAAGGTGAATAGAAAAACAGAGCATAACAAAAAGCTAACAGAACGCTATATCTGATATATATATATATATATATATATATATATATATATATATATATATATATATATATATATATATATATATATATATATATATATATATATATATATATATATATATATATATATATATATATATATATATATATATATATATATACAAAAATGCTCTATTTACAGTTTACTGTTTCAGCTCGTTATATCCTAGAAACTACTGCCTATTTATACCTCAGCATATTAGAATTGTGTTGTTCTTCTGATATATGGGCCAAATTGGGTTGCTTTTCTGTTGGTCCATCTATCACTTGAAGGTAGGGGATTGTGCAAACTTGGAAATAATATGCAGATGCAGAAATGAGTTCCTGTTGCATTGTGAGAGACTTAGTTTTCAGACTAGCTCACCTTTTGGTTGTTCTTTTTCTCTGGCCATAGTGGGGGTTGTTATCGGGGCATTATTCTCTACTACCCTATTCCCACTCCCCCAACAATCAGTATGCCCTGCTGGCTGACTTCTGAAATTCCTTATAATGGTTTTAGATTTTCCTTCGTTTTATATTAGTAATTGTTTGATAATCCCAGACAGTTAAAAAATGTGGAATATAATTTGATTTTATGATTTTTCTATGTCAATATTTGTGTTTGCTGCACATCAAATGATTAGAAAAAGGAAAAAAGAAAAGAATCTTCTGCTGATTTGGTTATGATGTATAGAATTGATGCTTAACGGGTTAAGGCTGGATAGTCCTTGGTGAGCTGGAAACAGCACGTTAATTGTTCAATGCGTTGGTAGTGGGCTGAACTATTGATAAACGTTTGACGAACAAAGTATTATGTTTCCCTGAATCCATACACTTTTGAATCTTTAATCATCTCATTTAGTTATTCAACTACTTGTTCCATGGATTAAACTCTGTGTCTATCTGTAATCTAAACTTTCCAAATTATGACAGCTTTAAGCCACTGGTGATAGATTTAGGTTATCACTGTCACAGCAAAAGAGAAAAACTATCTCAGATTTTCATTTTTTATCCAGATGATATGATGTTCTGAGAGCAATTAGGCTATGTTTGATTTTCAGTTAGGTCCAATTGCAAACTGGGTTTTGCTGCAGTTTTGTCTTGAAGCTTAATTAGAAATGAAAGTAAAACGGAATTGTTTTTCTATATAATCAATTTGAAAAATTAAGTTGGGTTACACTTAGATTTGCAAATATCAATCTAAACTCTAATTCTGAGTTATTTTTGATGATGTTGTAGAAAGTATGGAGGCAGAACCATCGATTCCTTCGGATTCACTCCGGGCTCAAATTTCCAAATTTACTACCATGGTCACTGAAACGTACAAAAGAAACCCAATCCATTATTGGATTCTTCTTGTTCTCAGCATCTTTGCAATGCTTGTGGCATTTCCTGCTTCCAGCATTCTGTCTCGTGTTTATTATGATAATGGTGGCCAGAGCAAGTGGATCATATCTTGGGTGGCTGTTGCTGGTTGGCCCCTAACTGCCTTAATACTGTTTCCTGCATACTTCTTTAGTAAAACCTTTCCTACCCATCTGAACCTTAAATTGACTCTATCTTATATCATTTTGGGTTTCTTAAGTGCTGCTGACAACCTCATGTATGCTTATGCCTATGCTTACCTCCCTGCATCTACTGCCTCACTCGTGGCTTCATCATCCCTAGTGTTTTCTGCACTATTTGGATACTTTCTTGTGAAGAACAAAGTGAATGGTTCAATAATAAATGCTATTTTTGTCATAACTGTTGCGTTGACTATCATTGCCTTGGACTCAAGTTCAGACAGATATGCCAATATTACTGACAGTGAATACATCATGGGATTTGTATGGGATATTCTGGGATCTGCTCTTCATGGGCTTATTTTTGCACTCTCAGAGCTGGTTTTCGTAAGGCTTCTGGGAAGAAGATCCTTCATTGTGGTTTTGGAACAGCAAGTCATGGTTTCTCTATTTGCATTTCTGTTTACCACTGTAGGGGTAATTGTGAGTGGTGATTTCCAGGGAATGGCACACGAGGCTACCACTTTCAAAGGTGGTAGAACTGCTTATTATCTTGTTGTTATTTGGGGTGCTATCACTTTTCAGTTCGGGGTCTTAGGGGGTACTGCTGTAATTTTCTTGGGTTCTACTGTGCTAGCAGGTGTACTTAATGCAGTAAGAACACCCATAACAAGCATTGCAGCCGTTATACTGCTAAATGACCCAATGAGTGGTTTCAAGATCCTCTCTCTAGTGATCACCATCTGGGGATTTGGCTCATATATTTATGGCAGCTCTATGGGTGAAAGAAATCATCATGGGAGGGTGTAGCTATATATTCCAGTTCATAAGATTCTGTCCTCAGACTTTCTAAGGACGTGATTAATGTTGTAAAGTACACTATATAATAAATCATTGTGTGGTTAATTGACTTTGAAAATAACTTCCACTCCCTTTAGAAAATCCCCATTTGGGGATTTGGTGCTCGTGCGCACACAAATATATATATATATATATATATATATATATATATATATATATATATATATATATATAAATATAAAATAAGTCTCCCTATCTTATTATATAAAATTGTTCAACTTCATCTCATTATAACAAAGTGACTAATTTTTAATTCTACAAAATAATAACCAATTTAAAAAATAATTGTCCAAACATAGAATAAGTACGAGAGCATGTGGCTTGAGAGGATGAAAGAGCTCTAATCATTTTGATTGATTTCGTGAGTAGATCAAATTGACAAGTGTTAAGACTGTTGTTAATGACATGAAAGGGGTTTCAAGAATTCTACAATGATGAGACGCCTAGCTTTTCTAGTGAAACTACTTTTGGTATGTCTTTTCTAACACCTTTATCATTTTCCTTGTCATGACTTCTTCATCTTCCAGTTTGGATGATGCTCCACCATGGCTAGTCCATGTTAGCCAAAGAAGGGATTGATATCCAGAATGATATGAACTATAAAAACCAAATTGAAAACTACAATTGAAAACCAAATTAGTAAGAAGGTGAATTAAAAAGTATTGAAAATTTGAGGGTTAGGCAGAATTTTAAAAACGTCGATATCTCGAACTATAAAATTCCAATTGAAGTGATTCAAAAACGATGTAAAAGTTCTCGTTCTAAATTTCAATTTAGACTAAAAAAACACTCAATTTGGACGAGTAGAACGAAAGTCGTGACCACGAAATTAATCTGGACAAAATTAAGTTTTTTAAATTCTGGTAAAAAAGGACAAGAGGTGAATGTGAAAAGTCGAAGAAAAGAATCATTCTTCTCAAGAAAGACAACTCATAAAGGATGTGAAAGTCATTTGTTACGGTCAAGGGTTTTCGAATTACTCAAGAACTTACGAGAATTACTCTTACTAAGATAAAAGACCTAAACTCAAATATTTTTTAATAAAACTCAATTTGTATTTTTGATAAAAATGGTTTAGCTTATATAGAAGTTTTGTTATCAGAATTACAAAATTCAATTAAAGAAAATAAATGTTAATAATGATCCAATAATCTAAGAATTGAAAATTACTTAATGGTTGATTGTAACTGAAATTATGACAATCAAAAGTCACCCAAAAACAATGTACACCTTCATCTCCCAAATATTGATGCCTAAGTTTTCAATTAAGTTCTTATTACAACTTCAAACAAAACAAAACAAAACCAAACTAAAACTCATTAATTGATTAATTTAAAACATAATTTAGTCAGTCAATTTTACAAAGAATTGAGTCATTATTTAAATAAACTTAAATGCTGAAGCATAGTGATACATTAGTCCTTCTCGATTTGAATCATGATACAATTCACAACTTTGATATTTTATCCTTGAAACATAGGTTTGTATTTAAATAAGATGAATAATCCTTGTTGAAAAATTTTCTTTGTTTTTCTTATTATAATCACATGTCCTCCAAATCATTCAAATGAATATTTATCTTTACCCTTACTCATCATCATCTCCCCTTCACAAAATAATTCTACAGGCAATAAAGAGTCAAGGTGAAGCAATAAAGAGTCAAGGTGACTATTTTTCTGCTGAACGCCCTCGTTCCAAAAGTATAAAAACCTTCCATGAAAAGAAAAACAACTTCTAAAACAATGTTAAATACTGGTAAAGAGTTGACATAAAGACAAAATTCCTGGATCACAACTTCGGGTATACAGGGGTACTCGAGAAAAAATATTTGACATGATATAGGAATTAGTTGGAGTGATAATGACAATTTTAGAAAGATTAAGTAGATTCTATTGGTTGGTGATCAAACAGTGCAATGAGAAGTGTCTCATAAGACAATTTTCTGTTTGAATTCCTTTAAAAAAGCTTTTAAATAGATATTTAAACACAAGTTTTCAGAAAATGGACTGTGTAAATTTGTAAACATCAGAAAAAACATTGATTTTATACTGATTCACTCAAATTGATGTAAGTCAAATTCTTCCAAATCAAATTGATAGATGATTCCATTACAATCAATGTTACACTGAACAACCCTTTAATTCCCCATGAATTAAAAAAACTATCGTTTATGATTAAGCTACTATGACTCTTTTAGTAGACTATGCCTCTCCAAACACTATAGACAAAGACTTAACAAAAATTACAAGATTACAACTATCACAGATTGAATATAAAACTAATTTGTATAAACAAGAGAATTAACTTTAAAGAGTGAATCAAGTGAAACCCAAAGCTATATAAGGAAAGAAAAAAAAAGTACTTTTCTTATTTAATAGTTAAGAAAGTTGAAAGAAAAAAAAAGTCACTTTTCACTTTAATTCATGTGTTTTTTTTTCACACACAAGGAAAAAAAGTGAAAGTTTGAGAGATACTTTATTTTATAAAATTATTATCTCTTTAATAAATGATTATTGATTCTCATATATATAATTTCAATATATATATATATATATATATATATGTATGTATATTGACTTTTAATTATATTTTTTCGGTAGAATGTAAAAAAATTTGAAATTATTATAAAAAATGAAATAAATAATTCAATATTATATATATATAATATTAATGTACATATAATTTTAAAAGATTAAATCTTAATTTGAAAGTATTAATTTAAAAAATTATTTCATTTATTAAAAAAGTAATTAATAATCATATAAGTAATGTTGTAATTATATAAATACGTTTATATTTTATTTATTTATTTATTATATTTTCAAATGAATATATTCTTTATTTTCATGTAGGGATAAATTTTGATTTTATTTCAATTCCCTTTTTTCTCTCACTTTTTTTTCCTTTTACACTGATACGGATCCTAAGAGCACAGATTTTAAATACTTAGCTCAACTGACATGCTTTTGTTTTTGATACATGAAGATGTCGAATGGAAAGACAAATATTTAAGAGTGTAATGAGTTAGTCCTGGCTACAGATCTATAGTAGAAAGAAAAGATAGTGGTATAACATGGAAATAGAATTTCAATAATTCAGCTGATTTATATGTTCATGGTTTCATGGCAGAATTCTCATCCAGTAGCAAAAATCAAAGTGATATGATGCTAATTAGGAGAAGGTTCAATATCTTTAAGAAGTCCAACTATCTGCTGCATGCTTGGTCGCTTGGAAGGAAGGTCAGCAGTGCACAGATAACCAATCTTAAGGGCCTCCTCCATTTGCTCTTCTGGTCCGGTATAATGAATTTTTGAATCAATGGCTCTGGAAGCTTTGTTCTTTCTCACTAGTCCTCTCACCCAACTAACCAAAGTTGTTTCTTTATCATCGGGATAATCATCTCCAACTGGCTTCTTCCCCGTTAGTAGCTCAAAGAGAACAACCCCAAAACAGTAAACATCGGATTTTGGAGTTGAGGTGTCAAATTCTGGTTGAGAAAACTCTGGTGGAACATAACCAGGTGAACAAAGTGCAATCTCTTCATCCAAGCCACCCCCAAAAATCTTAGCCAGTCCAAAGTCCGATAGTCTTGGCTCCAAGTTATAATCCAAGTATACACTGCTAGCTTTAACATCTCTGTGGATGATTGGTGGGGAGCATCCGTGATGTAGAAATGCTAATGCTCGAGCGGTGCCTAGTGCGATTTTATGGCGAAATCTCCAAGTTGTAAGCCCTCCTTCTGATCCAGCATTTTGAATCCCATTACTGTCATTTTCTTCCCAGGTATCTGTGCTCCAATCCTCTGTACTTTGAAGAACACCAAGTGGCAAGTCGTAAAGTAAATTTTGCAAGTTGCCGTTCTCCATGTAGTCATATATAGCGATCCTCTGATCCCCAGCTACACAATATCCAGTTAGAGGAACAAGATTGGGGTGCTTTATTCTTCCAAGATACTCAAGCTCTCTTGCAGCTTCTTTATCTGTAAGAGTGGATCCAACCACCAGAACTTTAACTGCTACATGAATACCACCTGGTAGAAAACCTCTATAAACAGGCCCAAATTTTCCTTCAGCCAAAAGGGTACCCCTATCAAAATTTGAAGTTGCAGCCAAGAGGTCTGCAAATGTGATATTTAACAGTGGCTTGTCAAAGATTATTACTGGGACGGATGTTGCTTGCTTAACATCAGCCACCCAAGTTGTTGAATCAGTGTGGAATGAAAAGGGACCTGACATGTTATGTTCTTCTTTGTATGAAGTTTGCTTAACAGGCCATGGTTTTGTTTTCTTAAGGCAACCAAAAGCTAGAAACAAAATCCCCGCAATCAAGCAGATCATTGAGAAGGTCAATGCCAGAGCTAGCTTCATTCCCTTATTTAAAGTGGCTCTTGTTTTTAGAAGACTTGGGTTTGCAGCAATAGGGCAACTGTTCACTGATCCATAGAATGCTCTTTGGATGACAGCTGGTTTGATCTCCGAAGCACAGAAGGATAGGTTATTATAAGAGAAGTTGTATTTCTCCATTAAAGGAAGTTTCTCAATGACTGACGATGGGACATCTCCACTCAGATTGTTGTTTGAAAGGTCAAGAACTTGGAGGTTTTTATTGTTTAGTAAAGGGATGTTCCCTATAAGATGATTCATAGAAACATCAAGTGCACTCAAATTACTGAGTTGTGAGATTTCACCAGGAATGTAACCAATCAGACTAGTTTTGGATAAGTTGAGATATTCCAATGCTGAGAGCATTTCAATCTTGGGGAATTTCTGTCTGCTAAATCTATTGTGGGCAAGATTAAGGTGCTTTAGATTCTTGCATTCACTCAAATTTTGGGAAATCTCCCCATCCAACTGATTCTCTGACAAATCCAGATAAACTAAATGAGACCAATTGTAATTAGAGATGGAATATACCTGAGAAATGTGACCTTCAAATTGGTTTCTTCTGAG